GTGGGGAAAATTCTAAAACACAGCAACTTACTCAGAAGATATTTTAAATGATAATGTTCCCATAGATTCCAGTACTCTGCAAATGCACCCACAAATGTTCCCCCGTAAGCATCGTGTGCTCTGAACATTGAATTTCCAAACAGAAATACATGCAGCGCTTCAAGCATTTTGTTAAGTATCCCTCCCTTCTCTTTTCTGAATCAAGCTCCTGCTTGCTCACACACTCTCCTGGTTCTGTGCTTTAAAGGACATAACACACTGTCGCTCCCAGTCCCCTCACGGTCATCCATAGGGACGTCCGTTTCTGCTTGTCATGTTCTGTGGGGCTGGTGTTATCTGGTGGCACAGCATCCTACCAGATCACCTCCTTAGAGAGCCCTTAGGTAGCCAATGGCACCAGTCAGCAGACCAGGCCTCTGCCCGCCCGCCTGCCCATCTTCTGCCTGCTCGGTTTGAGCTCTGATATGGAGATCGGGCTGCACTTCTTGCTCACTTTCAGCTCATCACCTCATCAGGGGCTCCCTGAGGCCATGAAGATTTTTGGAAGTTGGTTCCCGTACCACGAACTGTCCATCCAAGATGCAAGCAGGGAGTGACAGAGCGAACACCCTGCCCAAGGACAAGCGCTGCACTTCCAGGGGCCTCTCAAAAAGTTGGTGGGAAACAGAGTGAAAAGATATTGGGGTTTTTCCGTGAACGCTTTGAAGCCCCTTTGAGTTTCCAACTACCTTGGTGGCATTGTGGTTTACACATTGGCCTGCGAACCACAAGGTCTGCAGTTTGAAACCAGTAGATGCTCCGAGGGAGAAAAAGGAGGCTTTCTACTCCTATAGAGAGGCAGAGTCTTGGAAACCCACAACAGAGCAGTTCTACCCTATCCTACCAGGAGCTGAGTCAGAATGCAATCCGTGGCTGCGAGTTGTGTGTTGTGGTTGTTCTATAGCTAGGGAGCCACCGACACAAAGTTCCACTCAGACACACACGGGGTCACTCTGAATCAAAGTCCACGGCGGACCATCAGGGATCGCAAGACACTGTGTGAGCCTCAGCACGCCACGCCATTGTTCTCTCCAGACGTGTCTGAGTTGTGCACAGGCTGCTGGGCCAGCCTGCAGCCAGTTTGGTTGGAAGCAGCCATGCTTAAGTGTGATCCATTCGGTTGTACATGACTATGATGGTTTCCAAGGGGTCAAACAAGATTTGGGAATGCTAATGACTAATGGAATCCGGCTTGAAGTATAATGGACCCTCTCCAGCTTTCTCGGGTATTGTATATGCTGGCTCAATTAATACTCTAAAATTTACCTCTAGGTTCTAAGAGCCACTGCAATGGCTCCGCAGAACTCAGATAAAATTCACGATTAAAGTGTTTATTAAGGAAGCTAACAAGTTGTAGTGCCAGTTAGAAATGCTTAGGGTTGAGTTTTTTATTAGGACATGTTACAAAGTTCTATCAAGTCTGTCCAGTCTAATAAATGTCCAAAGGGCATACTATTCTGCCATAAGCCTCAATCTGAAAGCATTCAGCTTAAACTCTGTGGGTCAGCGGACCCCACTTCCTAAATTAAGGACCAGAGGCACCCCAGTCCAGTATGCCTCAGCCCAATGAGACTCAGCTCCGCTTCGGTGGGTCAGCAAGTCCAACTTCCCTACTTAAGTGCCCAGAGGCAATTCATTCAGCAGCCAACCTCCTGCACAGAAGCCCTTGGCTTGACCGGGGTTTGGAAGTCCAACATCCTACCCCATGACCAGGCTCTTGGCTCTGCGGCTGCTCCCCTGATGGTGTAGCTGTCACCTAGATCCAGAAGGGTAACTGAGCAGGGCTTTGGGGTCCAGAGGACACCCTCTACTTCTGGCTCTTGCTGGTAATGAGATCCCTTCTCCTGCTTCTCAGAGGGCTCATTTTATACACAGCAGGATGGAACTCCAGGGAATCCTGCTTACAATTACGCGCAGGTGAATCCTATCAGTATCTTCCTTGACCTTCTTTCCAGACCCATGCAGGGAAAGGTCATTTGGTGGGAATTAGGGACTTTGGCTAGAAGAGCCATATTACTACATAATTCACTGCCCCTGCATGTGTAAGATTGCTAAGGATATGGACATTGGGAAGTATATGCTAAGATAATGGATTTTTCTTTTTATATACTTTGCACACACAATTCCTCTGCTAGCCTGTCATGTGTCTTAAGAATTACAATATGAGATTGATATTGTTAGAAGAATTCAGTAGACATATCACTAAGGAACTGGGATAATGTGAACACTCACTAAAGAGCCTTGTTGCTTCATTGGCTAATCTTTTTTTCTTTTCCTCCATTCCACCTGATTATTGATTAGGCTCATTGCTCTAGGGCATGGACCCACCATTTGGGGTAATGATACAGAAAACTGCATCCCATGCTGAGAAATGGGCGCCCAGCTCCCACGACACTGCTCTGGCCCTTGGGAGGGTGGACCAGGCCCTCTTACCTTTATCATAGATTTCCTTCAAGACCCCTCGCTTTATCAGCTCCTCTCTGCTTTGCCTCATTGATATTTTCCTTTCCAGGGCTACAATCGAAAGACAGAGAAGTTGTGAGTAGACCACACTTCTTTCTTTATTTAAAATTTCAGTACATTGTAACTTTTGAGCAGTTTGAGGGTATCAGAAAAGTTGTGCAGAAAGTGCATCATTCCTGAAGACTCCCTCTTCCTACTTGGGAGTTGCTACTACTGTCAATGTCCCCAGGTCCTGCAGCACATTTGTTACAAGGGATGAGCCAATGCTGATCTGCTATGACGAACTGGAGCCCACAGGGTTTGTTAGAGCTCGAGATTCGCATCACATGGGTCTGTGGTGGGTGGCCTCCGGGGGAAGTCCACGCATCGCCTGCCCCTCCTGGGCTCCCAGTTGGAGCAGCCAAGTGAGGAGGGAACAGTTCGGTCCCCAGACGTGCCTGCATCTGCGCGGGAGCTCCTCCTCGGGAGAGCAGGTGGGGCCTGGAGGTGGGAGAAGAGTCCTTCCTCTGGGAACAGTGAGCACAAAGGTGGGAAGTCAAGTGGAAATGGAGCCTGGGAAGAGCAGCACAACGGGGCAGGCTTGGGGCCCCCGGTGAGCAAGCACGAGAGGAGGGAAACCAGCAACGCTGTGAAAAACACCTGGCCGCATCTGGACTTCCAGCTCTGTGTCCACACTGCGTGCCAGAGGCAAGAGGGTGCTTGGTTGGCATTTGCCAGCTTGAGAATCTCTGTGGCCTTTCAAAATACAGGTATGGGGGGGGGTGAGTTTACAAAAATATATATTTTATACAAATTCTAATTCAGATTTACCTCTCCTTCTGTTACACACACACACACACACACACACACACACACACACACACATCTTGACAGAATCTCATCCCATCCATACAATAATCGAGGGGTTCCCGGTGGCACAGTGGTGATGAGTGTGGCTGTGACCCTCAAGGTCAGCAGTTCGAAACCACCCCCACTCTGAGCGAGAAAGATGGTGCTTTCCACTCCTGGAAAGAGTTATAGTCTCAGGAACTCACAGGGGCAGTTCGACCCTGTCCTGAAGGTTGCTGTGAGCTGGCATCCACTCCATGGCTGTGAGCTTGGCTGTCTGGCCTGCCATCTACAAAAACCGAGAGAGCAGGCAGGGGACTCTAGACTGTGGTTCTAATTCTGCTGTCCACCTGGCCAGTCTGTGGAAACACTGATAGCTGGGCCCAGCCAGGTGTGCTGTGCTGACTGATGTATTGGGCCCAGAGGTGGGGATATTACACCGTGGTTACATACTTTGGAATTTGCTGTTTAATTCTTTTAAAAAATATTCGAACTCCTTCTCAAAACTAATGTTGAATTAGGTTGCAGTCTTTATATTATAATCGCATGCTATATTATTGCAGGTAGCTTAGCATGTATTAATAAAAACATGAACAAAACCACTCCAACCCGTTTATTCCAACCCAGGGAGACCCTATTGGACCGAGCAGAACAGCTCCATTCGATTTCTGAGACTGTCTATCTTCATGGGAGCAGACAGCCTCATCTCCCCCTCAGAGCGCCTGGAGGGTTCGAGTTACGCCTTTTCAGTCAACAGCCCCACGCTTACCCACTCTACCACCAAGGCTTCTATAGCAACAGTGAGACACATAGAAACGCAAGCCTTCCACAGTCAGGGGAGGAAGATTATATAGAATGGTGAGGGTCAAGGACGAGAGTGGAGAATTGGAATTTCTTTTAGGGGGTGGGTAGAATTGTTGCAGACTTTATTCTTTCGGCCAAAAGATATGGGTGAATCCCAACCCTTGGTATTGTGAATGCGATCTTGTTTGAAGCAGGGTTTTTGAGGATGTGGCAGTTAGGTGTGGGAGGGGCTCGACTCTCGACTTGGTGGTGGCCTGTCAATGAGGAGAAGAGTTGCAAGAGACAGGAAAGGGAAGGATGCGCTGGGATTCTGCAGCTCCAGACATGGGAGGCACGCGAGCGCTGGCAGGGCCGGGGAGAGGCTAGCACTGTCTCCCCAGGGCCTCCGAGAGAATCACTCCAGCGGACACCCTCATCGGAGACTCCCAGCCTGCGCTGAGATCAGACATGAAAAACCCAACGCACAGCCACTGAGTTGATGCTGACTCACAGCAATCCTCTCCCTGGGAGCTTCTGGTGGCTTTGAACTACTGGCCTTGTGGATTGTAGATGAACTTGGTAACCACTATACCACCAGAGTTCCTCCTCGGTTCCTACAGCTCAGTGCCATTGAGTCGATGCTGACTCGTAGGGACGCCCCGTGGGTTTCTGAGACTGCCACTGTTTATGGGGGCAGAACGCCCCAGACTTCCCCTTCTTATCCTGCCTCTGAGCAGATGCAGAAGGTACACGTTGCTACCTCTCTTCCCTGATACATTCCTGATCTTTTTGTTGCTTCTCGCCCTTTTCCCTCCTTTTCTCCCTTTTCTTCGTTATTTTCACCCAAAGTCAAAAATTACAGAGCGGTGATTTTTATGAACTTAGCCTTGTTTGGTGAGCAGGAAACCATTTTATGTTCTATCCCTCATGTTAAATCCATTCCCCCATTCCTACTTGGGTCAGAAGACCCACAGTGCCTTTCTTCCTCAGACACCCTGCTTGGTTTCAATGCCTGAGACAAAAGGGTAAATTGTATGCAATGTGAATGTACACTTCCATTTATAAAGGAAAACTAAAAACAGCAAGTAAAAATTATGATAATGTTCTCCAGTGCAAACTTGGTCAACCTGAAATCACAGAGTATAGAGAATATTAGTGAGCACACAAGGGATGTGTGTGTGTATGTATATGCGTGTATGTGTGCGAGCATGTGCATGTGTATGTTATATGCCACACAAAGCTGGGGGCCAGACTTGACTGCAAATCACAGAATGCCAGCCAGGTGTGTCGGAGAGAACTGTGTGGCGTCACTGGGTTCTCAATGGCAGACCGTGTGGAAGTAGGCCATTAGGCTTTCTTTGGGGCCGTCTCTCAGTTCACCGCCTCATGAGTTAATGGCTTGCACCACCCCGGACTCCTAGTCTTTTGAGTCTGCGAATGGTGAGGTCATGCTTTAGAAATGGGGGGCCTGGTAAGAAATGGGCTCTCAGCCACCAATTCCACCATCGCCCTGTGCATTGTAGCTTTAATATCAGGCTGAAAGCAGTTTCTCATTTAATTATGTTTGTAAACCCCTCTTCTGATCAACCCCAAGTATATGCCACATTTACTAAAAGCCAATCCCTCATCAACTTTTCCAGTTTTCATTTCCACGTGCATTTATGTTAAGCTAAAAAATCCTATGCTTCTTTGACACTGGTCAGTTTAAAATAAGCATCTAGCATGTTCCCTTTAAGGAATGCCTATGCTGAATCTGTTTAAAACAACATAGGAGTTCTTTTTTAAACACTTTCATGCTTTCATCGAATTTATGCCAAGAATAATTGAAAATATTTTAACTGTAAAAAACTCAAGGAATGTAGAGAAGACCAAAGTTCCTTTCCATGATGCCTCTGTTCATAAACTCAATTCACCAAGCTGTACCGTCTTCCTTTAAGAATGAAGACTGGTCTTTTTCCAAATCTTTCTCCAAGACCTTATTCATTCATATTCTCTCTCTGACACACACACACCCTGTATAAAAATACCTTTACATCCACCTCATATAGTTCAGCAAGTCTTTTTAATCTCTTATTTAACAAACAGTTTTAGAAATCTTTCCAGAGGGATATACATGAACACCTCATTTTTTTAGTATCATATATTATTTTTTTGGTATGTATGAATATGTACCCAATTATTTTAGCCCATCTGTAATGGAAGGAAATTTAAACTGTCTTCAACCTTTCAGCATACAAATATTGCTACTATAAGTGCATGTGAACATGTATAATTTTTTCTTCAATCTGAAAAAAGTTCATGAAAAAAATTGTACGGTTTTTCAATTCCATTTTCCACAAACTTTTTAAAATGTCATTGTGTGCTAGAAGTAGAATTTCTGGCTTGGGCATATTTTATATACTATGGACTCCCAGTTCTGATGGGGGAGGGGTGACCAAACAAACCCCTGTGAGTGTTATAACATTTAAGTAGAGCGTTTTTTGACTTAAGGAAAAAGCCACCACCAACCAGGAAATGAAGAAAAAGCAATATCGATGCTGGAACAAGTCCTTTGGTCCTCCCCAGAGAACCCAGCAATGTGTTGATAGTTTTCTCTAGGATAATCTGTCTCTGTTGAACCCCTTGCTCAACTGCCTTTAAATTACATTGTGTAGGAGACCGAGTTGGAAAGGGGTAAAAAACAATGGAGAAATAATGAAATTTGAAATAGCTTACTGCCCAGGCTGCAGTTCTAAAAGCAGTCAACTTGCAAGTACAGTCCTCAGCTTGCATTCTCTTTACATTTTACAACTCCAGAGAAAGAGAAACCTCAGGCTCTCAGGCTAGACACCTTCACATGACCAAAGGCTAGACACCTTCACATGACCAATGGATGAATGTCCAGAACCCAGAACATGCCTGCACTTCCCATGTGGTCTTATGAATAATGAAGCTCCTTCATATGATGTAACCACTACCGCCTAGAGACCCCAAATGAACAGCCAACCCACATTTACATACTCCTTGGAGAAAATGTTTCCATATTTATGTTTTTTAATGCCGAGAGAACATCATTTCAAAATCCAATTTACCGTATATACGCGTGCATAAGCCAAGTTTTTCAGCGCATTTTTTAGTGCAGTGTTTGTGGTGAAATCAGGTGCCTCGGCTGATATTTGGGTCGGCTTATACTCGAGTATCTACGGTCTACAGATCCTTTCATTGCCGTCAAGCTGGTTTCCGCTCGACCCTATCGATTTTCCCGTGGCTGTAAATCCTTCCAGAAGTAGCGTGCATATCTTTCTGTCACCGAGGGGCTCTAACTGCTCACCTCCGACGAGTGGCCCCAGGCTTACCTCACTGTGCTGCCAGGGCTCCGTGACTTATACCCATACCCTATAAAAGGGGGAAGGGAGCAAGGATTTGGAGGAATGGGGGAAAGCCAGTGGGTCTTCCATTTG